TCAAACAGACCTAGGTTTGCAAACTGGCTTCTGTCTTCACAATCTGTGTGTTTGAGGAAGTTAATTAATTTGCTTAAGCCTCAGTTTCCTTGGCACTAAAATGAAACTAATGTATGTTCTGTCTTAGATCTTGTTTCCAAGTCCACTCTCTACATGCTGTCCCCAATATACGGACTATAGCAGTGGTCCTCACCCAGGACAAGGTTGCCCCTCCAGAGGGACATTTGGAACTATTTACAGTTTTGTGCACCCCACTGAAGGAGCTGTTACTGGCATCTGGTGGGTACAGCCTAGGGATGCTGCTAAGTATCTTAACATGCATAAGATGGTTCTTTACCACAAAGAATTGTACAACCCAGCTGTCAAGAGTGCAGAGGTTGATAATTCTCTTGCCATCTGTCTTCTGGTTGGCTTAGGCCAATGAGAACCCTACTGGGAATAAGGACTATTTGTTTCTCTTGCTTCGCTCCACAGGGTTTCCTTAGGCTGGCTGAGTCCTTCCAGCAAAGACGCCCTAGCCCATTTAAGGCAGGCTGTTCTCTTGCATCTGGTAACTGCTACCTCTCTTCACCTCTGGCCTAAGGATAGGAAGAACACTGCTGGCACCAGCCCCTGAGTGCTGCCCTTCCTCTTGCATTTCCTTCCTACCTTGCACACCTTTGCAAATAGTCCCATTCAAATTAACTCTCCTCCAACAGTCATGATTTGACTGTATCACCTAATTTGGGGATTCTAAAGTGGTAGTGGTATCAACATGCTAAGGCTGTTGTAAGCTTTCAGTGAGACAATAGATAGAAACAGTTAGCACAGGACAAGGCATATCATAAATGTCCAGTAAATCATAGCTTTCTCAGGGTCCATGTTGGGCACTGCTGCTACCCTGGGTCTTCATGATAGATGACCTTTTCTTCACATAAAATTCTCTCTCTTTCTTTTAATTTGTAGCTTGCTTGGATCCTAGAAGTAGATCAATTTTTTTTTTTTTTTACAGCCGTACTCCAGTGTCTAGAGAGCCACTCTGCCGCAGCGCTTGAATATGGCATTAAAATATGTTGTGAGTTGGAAAGCCTTTGCAGAAATTCCAGGCTTGTCTATGCTCTCAGAATGCAAGACATTATTTGCGTCCCTGTCACATAAATTTGGAGGCACTGTACATGCTGGCCTTTTTCTCTCCAGGTTTCCTGACTCAGTAGTCAGAATGATGATCCTGAGTTTTACTCCTGGTGGCAGGAGGCAACCGCAGGACTGCAGCCTCTGCAGATAGAGCTGGACAAGATCCAGACAAGGTAAGGAAATTGCCGTGTCTCTACCTGTGAGAAGCAGGGAGCTTGGGCAGCTTCACTAAGGGTGGAACATAAGACCAGAGACTAGGCACAGAGCGTGCTTGAGGATGTGGGGAATCAATGGGGAGTACATTCACTCGTTCCTTGTTACAGCACTAACATGTGTTGGTATTGGAGAGCACATCTGTTGCTCCTGCATGTAAGCGTATTGTATGCTGTCACCTCCAGATATAGTACGATTATGGTATATAATATTCCTATTTCTATCCACTGTCCCATTTAGATATTTCCAAAGTTCTATAAGGTGGTTGTTCCTATCATCCCATTTTAATGATGGGGAAACTGAGACTTTGGGGAGCATGGCTCTCCCACTCTATGGCTGGGCTGCACAGAGTGAACTGGGGTTCATGCACAACTGGATCTTTGGGTTAGACAGACTGGTCTGAGCACAGGAAAGTGACTTTGGCTAGCTGACACTCTGGTCTTCGTTACATAGGGATTATGGAGCCCTTCTCTACCTATTCCCTTGCCAACACTGAGGGTGGCAAGTAGCACTATAAGTAAGGAGGAGGGGGCTTTCTTCGAGGCATCCCTCAATTCTAATCCTGCTCTCCCTCTTAACAGCTATGTCCCCAGGGCAATTCATTCAACCTTGCTGGGCCCAGTCTCCACATTTGCAAATCAGAGGAGAATACCAACTGCTTCACAGGGTTACCGCAAGGACTCAGGACACATGCCGCTGTCCCCAGAGTGGAGCAGGCACATTCCAAGGTGGGGCTCACTCTGACCCCTTGGGGCTGCAGGAAGGGAGTATTCAAACTTCTATTTCTAATTAATTCTCTTCAAGGTACAAAAGGAAATCAGGCTTTATTGATATTTAATGTACGTGTAGACACTTGACACCTATATTTGGTCTGCATATCAGCTCTCCTTCATTCCGCAGTGCAGAGTAAGCGATAACAACCTTTCATTCACTCATTTGCTTTTAGCAAATTCCTGTGGCAATTTATGTGTGCCCAAGTAAATGATTACAGGGATTATAATACCCATTTTGTGATATAAAAACACTCCTGCTCAGACTCTATCTAGTAAAAAATAAAAAGGTAAATGTAAGTGAGCAACCAGCAAATAGCATAGCTCACCTTTCTTCCACTTTTGTACAGGTTCTTCATGAGCCCCTTACAACGCAAAGAGAAGGACGATAAAATCTGAGTTGACAAAACACTGTCTGCCAGCCACCCAGGGAAATTAGCATAAGGTTGTTCTGAATGTGGATTTACGCCCACTATCATTAATGACAAATTTTTCTCTATGGGTAGCTGGTGTCTGGAGATAGTAGCTAATGATAGTACAAGGCTATCTCAATTACCAGGACATTAAATACTATTTATTCCAACTTAATTTCATCCTTTTAGAAATTTACAATATGTGTGTATGTCTTATAAGATACTAGAAAAGCACCATTTGACATTGTGTGAGTAGCTAATCAAATGTAATTATATTGGTGCTGTGTGCTTTAAGTCATTTCTGTAAATAGGATTGTGCAATTTTAAAAGTGCGGAGAGCCTGAGCGAATGAATATAAAGTAACTGACTTTGAATCTGCCATGCAGTAGATGTTCAATAAAAATAAAAAAAAAGAAACCAGCTCTTGTTAACAATTTCTTAATTGTAAATGTCTCTCTGCCAGGATGGCCGCCTCTCCACCTCCAGATCTTGGGTGTAAAATTGCCTAAGCAGACAGACTTTCTCAAATCCCCATGTGGGACCTCACTTGCCCATTTCACTCCCACTAAACAATGTTCTTATGTTTCCAAGTACTCATCACAAAGTTTAGGTTTGTTCCTCCTTTCCTGGGAGGAACCATGTCTCCCTAAGTCACCAGCCCAGGACTGAGCTCAGAGCTGGCCAGAAGTAGCAGCAGCAGACACAGGTCATTGGCCTGAATGGGAGGAGGGAAGCTGTGATTTCATCCCTCCCCTCCTGCTTCCTTTTCGTGTTATCTTCCAGCATCTGATCTTGTCTCTCCTTAAAACTACAAGGTCTTCTTCATCTCTCTCAATCCCCCACGTGTCCCTCCACGGCCCTCAAGACTGAGACAAGGTAAAACGTCCTCTGGGAACCACAGGCTGTCTCTGCTTGCTCTGTGCTCACTTACCTCGCCAATTCCATCTTTTCGTGTGTGTATCTCACCCTCACTCTACCTGTCACCCCTTGAGCGCCAGGATTCTGCCCTGCTCCTCTCCTCACATAATACCTGGGTGCTCAGCACCCAGGACGTCTCTGTGCAGCTTCAGGACTGGATAAGTGAGTCAGTCAGGAGTGAATAGCAGAGTCCATTGTAGAATCTGAAGGTCCAGGAAGTGGAGAACAAGTGATGTGCTGGATATGTCAGAAATGGCAGGAGCAAGGACATAATGGGATGTTACTCCAGGAAGCTTTGACTCAGTGGATGACATCTCAGACCCCGAACAAATGACAACATGCTGGGCTGCCACTTAGGAAGTGTCGGGTGTGATCTCAAGGATACAGCCACTCCAAGTAATTCTAGAGTGATCAGACTGTAAGCTCCACCAAGAAAACTTCTCAAAAGGGAGGAGTTGTATCTTTACCCCTCATTGCTAGATGTTCAGTGCCTGGTACACAGGAGGTACTCAGTGAAGATTTCTTGAATGAGTGGTTGAACTCAGAGTGAGGATAAGGCAGAGATGGGGATTGGGCATGAGGGGCGGTAACAAAGGAGTGATCTCTTCACTGCCCCTGCAAAACACCAAGGAGAAAAGACACAAACCTGCCAATCCCGTGACCATCAACACCAAGCCTAGCCCTTTCTCTTTAAAACTTGTGTTTCTTGTACCCAACAAAGCCTGGCACCCAATGGCGCTCAGTAAATCACTGATGATTTGTGACTATCTTTGTAAAATGAATGCTAACATTACTTAACTGAAATAAATTAGGATTCACAAAGCTCCTGTCTTCAGTGAAAGTTTTATATTAGTTCCATTTTTAAGTGTTTTAGTTCTGCTTTTAGTCCAGTTGAATGGATTCCAACTTATCAATCAAGGTCAGATTTGTCACTGGAGCATCTGCTTGCTAACATGAGCATGTTTGCATTTTATTGAGCTTTCTAATTTTACTATAGTTTAGTACATACCAGGCTGTCTCCAGATCACAAAATTGTAAGTGGAACACTAGTGTGCTATTAATAGGCTGTCTAGGGTGGGAAAGGAGAGGTTCTGAAGACACACTGATTTGGCAAATTCTGCGTTAAACAGAGTTCTTCAGTGCAGGATTGCTCAGAGCACTTCTTATGTTAATGTGAAATTTTTACTCCCCTAAGAGAAGTTGTCAAAGGATGTTCTCAAATGCATTCACTGGCACACCCTATTTTTTCTGTTTCATCGTGGAACACCTTTTAACAATCCAGAGGTTACCTAACCCAAGAACACACCTTGGAAAATGCTGTTTTCCAGAATACTATACCATGAGGGTTTTGCATTTTCTTTACAGCTTAGTTTGATAAAACAATTGCTCTTTCATAATGGAGGAAGGCACATCCTCACACTCGCACTCCCTCACCCACTCTTTTGAAGGACACAAAAATAAAAGAGAAACACAAGAATAAAACACAAGAATAAAAGAGAGTAGGCTTAGATGTGAGTTTGACTTCATACAGATTTCAGTTCTGCAACTTGCAAAGTTTGTGACCTTCTGCAGATTAATTATCTCTTGGCTTATTTTATTCCACAAAAATAAGGGCAATGACACAGTAGAGAGACTGCTCGACCCTGATGCCTGGTGGTGTCTCTGAAAGGTCTGGCAATGTCTGGCCATGGTAGGTGGTATTTAATTCATGGAGCATCATGGAGCCTCTGAATGGAACTGCAAACAAAACACACAGAAGCCCCTGCCCTTGACAGAAGGAAACTTCCATAGAATTTGGCTACCCAGGGGGCCCCAAAGTGCAGCCCAGGCAGGTACCAGGACTCTAAGGCAACCGCTAGTGCTATTCATGGGGTCTGTCGCTAAGTTTCTGGTGAAAGGAGGGGAACTTTTGAGTTGTCCTGTTGCCAGGACACACCTAGATGCTGCAGCCTGCCCACCAAGAGAGGGCGCCTTGATCCCCCCGGCCTCCCAGTACAAGACAGCAGAACAGCGAAGCCTCACACCAAAGTGCCTTTGGACACACACCTCAGTCGGCCCAAAGCAAAAGAAAGAGACCATCCAGGCCAAACTCATCCACCCATTACGTGATGAGGTCTCCATGCTTGATGTTGGAGGTGGAGCGCCGGGACACCTGTTGGCTGTAGAGCTCAACTAGGACCCTGGGGCCCAGTTTATTTTACAGAGGCTTAGGAAATATTTTGAGCAAGGTGGCACACACCTCAAAGAGCAACTGCTCAGTGCGCTGCTTTACACCTGTGTCTCCCAGTAATGAGGCCAAGTTATCCCCTGAGCTTTCTGTATCTTCATCATCACCCACTTCCCAGGAAAGATGGAAAAGTTAGTGTCTAATTGGGCTTGCTTTTCCTCCTCTTGCTTTCATCCCACCCACTCAGCTTCTCACGGGCACTAGGCATTTAATTGAGCATGTCACTGTTGATTGTGCCCGGGGCTTGTACAGGGGCTGCCAGCCCTAGTTTCTCCATTCTGCCAGCTGAGCTTGAGCCGGCTCCTGTCCTGGCTGTTTCATGAATCACAGTTCAGCGTGTTCTTAGAATTATCGCACATTTCCGGCTTGGGAAGGAGGTCCTCACAAGCTCAAGAAGGCATCAAAATATTTAGTTACCTCCAAATGAAGGATATAACTGTGCGCAATATCAATTAGAGGCATACAGAGAGCGCTGACTGCACTAATAAAGTTATAACGGAATATAAGGGTGAGGGAGACAGGCACTTCCTCACAGGCACGGGCAGAAGCAAATACTGTGAAAAGTCGTAATTTCCCAAACAGATTGTCTGAACACCTGCCGCCGTTCAAGGACCCTCCGCTCCCCACTACACTCTTCCCTGTCTCTATAAAAAAGCATCATAATCAGGGAGAGATACGAAGTTCAGGTGGGACAGCTGGTGACCAACCAGTTTCATCCCTTCCTGGGGCTGCTGAAGTCCTGCGCTGAGGAGGACTCTGCGGCTGCCCTTGGGCTTCTCAGAGGTGAAAGCAGTGACTGGTCAGGGTTGGCCACAAGTCAGAACGGAGCGCGGAAGATATGTGTGCACCCATCTGACACACCTGCCACTGCAAAGAGCCCCACCTGAGAAGCTAAAGACCCCTTTGTCCTGAGGAAGTCATTTAGTTTCCTCAGCTTCAGTTTCCTGGCCTGTAAAATGAAGATGGGGACAAAGTTTCCCTTATGAGGTCATGGTGAAGATCAAACTTAGCGAAGCATGTAAAACTGCTCTGAGAACCATGTGGAAGGTAATGTCATTGTAAAAGTATGTATGTTCAATTTGTGTGTGTGTGTGTGTGTGAGTGTGTGTGTTAGCTTTTTTAAAGCCCTATGGATAGATTTCTGAACTTTGGCACTTTGACATTTTGTACTGATGGATTTTTTTTTTGTGTGTGCAGGGTTATGACCAGCAAAAATGTCTCCAGACTCTGCCATCTGTCCAGTGAGAACAAACCCACTTCTGCGGAGAAGGCTGGCCTGGGTCAGCCTTCCCCCTGGCTGCACAGCAGACTCACCTGGGAACTTCTAAATTGATCTCAGTGCCAGGTACCAAGCCCCAACCAGAAGGCTTTTACTTACTGGGACAGGAGTGGTGGGGCAGAGCATCTATCCCCATGTGATTCTAATCCACATTCTAGAGCCCAGATCCTTTCACAGAGCTATACGGAATGGTCTCGGAATATGAATTCCACTCCTGCAAGTCACAGGCCCCATAGACTCCTCGGACCTGGCCACAGGCTGCTCCTAGACATGAAGCTAAGTACTGTTATGGACAAAGGCGTGGAGTCCTCCAAGGGGGAAATTAAGGAGAAAGTTCCCCCAACCCAGTCCAATATGTAATTGCCCTCCCCCACTCGATCCCATGAATTCCACTTTTAATGAGTATGTGAACAATTTATCCTTTACCAGATGATTCGGGGAACGTGATAAAGGAGATAGTTAAACATGATAGATATCCACGCACGTCCATCTTGAAGTGATTTTTCAAAGACAATGGAAGCCCTAGCATCCCTTTGATAAAATGGAGTTAGACAGAAACCCAGCAAGTAACATATGACTGGGTACAAATGGTAAAATTAAAGGCAAACATTGTTGATGAGCTCACTAGAGCCTGAAGTACTGAAGCACAATATTAGCCTTGGTAGAAAATAACTTCATTGAAATATGTCCTTCCTGGTGCACAGCTTTCCTAAGGCTCTGAAAGCATTCTGTCTCTCCTAGTACCTCACTGCCTGTCATGAGAGATTTTCAATAGAATGAACAGAGAAGAGAGCTTGGGAAGGAAAGTTAAGGATAATTGAAGTCTTGCCTTGATCTATTGTTACAACTGAATAGGCAGAGAGACAAATACTTGGTCCCTGCTTAGACCTTCAGCTCCTGGGGCCGGCACAGCAGTCAGTCAATCAGCATATCCTTACTGAACACCTACCGTAAATAAGTCACTAGTCACCGTGCTAAGCTCTCCAGGGATGCAAAGATGGATAAGATACAGAACCTACCCTCTAGCCATTTGTAGTCTAGTTAGGGACCTATAAAAACATACTCAATAATCCTAAATGGTCTCAGCTTAAACCCAAATGAATGACACCGAAAAGAGATGCTGAGCTGGGAATTTCATAGGAAACCGAGGGAAAACTGGACACAGAGACCTGGCAATCCAATGGGTCCCTGGCATCGCTTCTTATACATATGCAGGGGGCTGGCTGATGGCCCCCTGGGTGCAGGAGGGGGCATCTGGTGGAGGGTCTGGTGATGCAGGGATGATAGATGCTGTCTGCCTCCTCCTTTGACCCACCGACTAGCCATGCATTCTATGAGAGATGAGGTGGCAAAAGAGGTGCAGGCAGAAGAAATGGAGATGAGGCAGAGGGTAGGAGGGAAGAGCTAACTCCCAGCTGAGTGGAGAGGAGCACCAGAAGGAGTGGAACAGGGACAGGAGGCCTGGGACAGAAGCAGGCTCAGGGGAGAAATGTTTTCCGGGAGAGAAAGTTGAGATCTCAGTTGGTGGTAAGGACACTGTCATCAGTAAATTACGGCTGTGTGTGTGTGTTGGGGGGGATATGTGACACCCTTTGGGGATTCCTGGACCACTCAGAGTATTTTCAAGGGATCTGTCAGCAGACATCTCATTCTAGCTTGAGGGAGGTGGGGACGCTCTGGGATGCAAGTGGGCGAGCAAGAAGAATAGGACTAAGCAGAAAGCCTGTCGGCCTGAACATCCAGAGGGAAGCTGTAACCCGGCATGTGAGGTGAGCAGCGCTAAGAGTGACCGGCACTCCACCAGCTGAGACCTACAGTCATAATCATCAAGACCTGGGAACTTCTCCTGGCCAACGGGTTGTGCTTGAAGCACGACTCCTAGCCCAGAGTGTTCAGGGGGCCATCCACGTGGTAGCTTCACAGCAGCAATCTCAAATTGCCACCCACATCTCCCACTGCTCAGGACAGGCCCCGCTGGCTGCACGGGCCATTGGATGACCCCCTGAACAACCCCGTTCTCCACTCCCTCGCCTCCTCGCCCCTGCAGCAGAGCAGCAGCAGAGTGAGGTTTTTAAATCGCCACTTGGACCATTGCACCGTGCTGTTTAAATTTTCTCACAGCTTCTCTTGCTTATGATAAAATCCAAACTTCTTTCCATACCTGTTTGCCTTACAGGGCCTACCTGCCTGCTCCCTGGACTCGTCTGTATCCTTCCTCATCTTGCTCATATCACTGCAGTGATAACGGCTTTCTTTGTTCTGGACCTAGAACCTAGAACACTCAAAACTCATTCCTGCCCCAGGGTCTTTGCTCTTGCTGCCAAGAGATCATTCCCTACATAGTTCCCAATTGTCCCACCTCCTATTCAGGTCTCATCTCTAGAGAGGCTCTCCCTGGCGTGTCCTTTAAAGGAACCCACACATCTTCTCTTCCTTGATTCTAATTAATATCTCTTCACAGCCCTTATCTCCCAACATCACATTATGAATTCACTTGAATATCTGTTATTGTCTACATTTTACATTAGACTAGAAACTCTAGAAGGACAATCTATCCCACCTGCAGAACAGTGTTTGTCACATGCTAAGGGCCTAAAAATAGACGTTAAATTAAAGAAAAAATTAACCATTTTTCAACTATCAGGCAAATTGCGGTCAGCTTCCACTACCCTTTTGAAAACATATCTTTCAAGGACACTAACATGCACAAGCTCCATGATTCCAATCTCTCCCAAGGGCTTTGTACCCTAAATGAGGCTTTTCTATTTCTCACTGCCACACCCCTTGATAAAACTATCTCTGCCCCATCCTAGCATGCTTCAACACTGGTGATTTACTTGTGTTACCTGTTTTATTTACTTATTCTTGCTTCTTACATGAATATCAGCCCCACAAGGCAAGGGGCATGCCTGGCTTATCTATTGCTGGTAGTCCTACCACCTGGCAAAGAAGAGGTACTCGGTAAATACTTGTTGGGTATGCATCCAGCTAATCCAGGGTTCTCTTGCACATACATTTTGTTGGTTAATGATCTGTCCCTCAGAGCCAGATAGTACATTGGCTACTATTAAATGCCATTCTGTTACCATAGGTTCAACTCGTTATTCCTGTCTACCAAGATCCTCCAGACTCTGATGTGTCTTTCAGCATTTCACCATCACTGCCTGCCTGTAGAAACTTCATGAAGCCACCACCCACACCATTCCAGGCAGAGCAGATGGTAGCAGAAAAATGTGTGTACCCTTCCCACCTTCAGCCTGCCCTGTCCTCTTGCATACCACGGTGCCAGATGCAGGGCTGAGCTTCAGGTCTCTCCTGTACGCACACTCCCTAACCCACTTCCCAAAAGGAAGATGTTCAGAGTAGACCTCAGGCTCAGGAACAGTCTAGAGTTAGACCAGAGTTTTAAACCCCACCTTCTCTCCTTTCTTTGTAAATCTTGACATTGACAGTTCCTTCTGCCTCCATGCATCTCAGTCCCTTCATCAGGTACATGAAGCTAATACAGCTCTGGAACTGTTGGGCACTGAGCACAGTGACATCATCATGGTAACCTGATGAATGAGTGAGAGTCTAAAATAGCAACTTTAACAAGCTAAATTTAGAAGTGAGAAAGTGAAACACAGGTATTTATTTCACTGGATGTTTCTTAAGGCAAAAAGGAAACAAAATCAGCACATTTGCAAATGAGTCCTTGATCAGAAGTCACGCAGACAGTTGTTGCCATTGGTTTAACATTCTTGTTAAAGTTCCCATGCCGGCACACCCTTCAAGGCAGGGTCCTGGGCTTGAACTGGAGGGCAGAGAAAGCTGGGGCGTGGGTGTCAGGAGCCCAGGCCAGCTGTCCACATCACTGGAGGGCCAACTCCAGTCACCTCCCCCTTCCTGCAGCACCTCCACCATGTGCACCCAGCTGTCGTTTTGCATCTACTTCAGCTTCATTTAAAAAATGGGGCAAACTGTAAAGATGGGAGATAATCATAAAGAGCTCAGGGGAAGTATGCAAATAGAAACTCTGCAAACTCAGAGGAGGCTGGAGAACAAAGATAATCAAGAGCATTATCAACAGGCCCCAGGTGTGCACTGGCTGGGGCTGAGCCAGTACGTGCACCCAAGAGGGAGGAGGGCAAGGGTGGTACCCACCAAGCACACAGGTCTCCTGTTTTTCTGCATAATCCTGTTTTGCAGAGCTGTTCCAGAGAAGCCTGGCAGATGGAGCTCAAGTGTATTTGTGAGTACAGGAAAGTAGAAGCTAGGTGTTTCCCATAATGTCTGCTCTTAACCCTCTTCCCTTAGTGTGTTCGACCTCACATGGCAGCCGCAGAGATGTGCTGAAAATGGTGCCCAAATTCATCATCAGTGCTCAAAGGCTTATTCCTGGGCCCCAGGCCAGCCCCGCCATGCCGACCTCAGCACAGCACAGCCCACTGCTTCTCAAAGATCCCACCCCATGCCTCTCACTTCCGGTCTTTGCTCACCCACCTTCCTGACTCTCATCCTCAGCTAGAGCCTTTGTCCACAAAATGCAAAGGTAGGCAAACGTCCTGCTCTCTCTCTCCAACCTTGCCTGCTTTAATGTTTATCACCACCTCATATAACTTACATTCTGCTGCTTTGTTTTCTGACTTCTGTTTCCTAACTGGAAGGGAAGCTCAGTGAGGACAGGTGTGTCTGCTGATGTCTAGCTAGTGTCGTCTTCTGCGTGGGATGCTCGGTACTGAGCACAGGAATTGCTGTCAGTGCCTCCTTACAAAGACCTCACGGTTTAGAACATTCACCCAAAAGAAACCACTCATACCTCTAAGTCATTATATGCTTGGCTTCTAACCACAGTCCTCCCTAGTCTCCTGCACACTAAACAGCAGATGCATTTTTTAGTGTGACTATCCACTTTTTCCACAAGCTTGTGTTTTCTAACTATATACTTGGATCTTTTTCCAATCCATCATTGGAGCATTTCAGGTTGCTGCATTAAGAAATTTTAATATACTTCCTGAAAATGTTTCATCCTGTCCTGCCCCCATCAGAAAACACTGTCATGACCCCTACTCTGGCATGTGCACAGGGCCAACCTGAGTCCAACAAATTTCCAGCCTTCACAGACTGACTGTCCTCGTTTACTCACT